AGAAAGTGAAAATAAAACTGTAATTAGATTCTATTTTTTACTTTTTCTCATCTTTAAATATAAAATTATAATTGCCAGTGCATGGAAGGGTGGGATGATGCTGGCATGCTTGTCTACTGCTATAATAGTATAAATTTGTACTTTGATTTTGGGAAGGAATTTTACATTGCAGTAGGAACCATAATACAGATTCTTTGATGCATTGGTTGTACTTCTGTGGATCTTTCCTAAAGAAATCTTAATATGTAAAAAGTTATATTTAAAAAGAAGGTCATATATTTAAAGTAGCAAAAAAAATGCAAACAACCTAATGTACAATAATGTAATTTAAATATGAAATAATAATTCAGTAAATTTTGATAAATAGCTTAATAGACAAGTAGTGATTAAGAATTATAGTTATGAATTCTGTGGAAAAACAGAAAAATGGAAAATATAATCATATACCTATTATGCTTTTCACTTGTTATAAAATTAAAAATAGATGTAGAAAAAAGACTGAAAGGAAGTATATCAAAATGCTGACAGTGGTTGTATTCGTGGTGAAATAATGGATGTCCCCACTTCACTTCCAAAATTTTGTAATGTAGTTTTACTTCATTTTATGGTTGTTGTCATTTTGGGGAAAAATCAGAAACACTTGATTATAGTATTTGTAGATTTTATTCCTATGTGAGTACTATAGAATATTACTTAGTTTTTTGTTAAAATACTTTGAATTGATTGCTTATTAGTGCCAGGTACTGGGCTAAGTACATTACATAGATTTTCCCATATAATCTTCACTGCAAGTTTTTAGAGTTTGCACTGTTATTTTTAGTTAGTAATGGTGGAACCAGGATTCAAACCCAGGGCTGTCTGAATAAAAGCAGTTCTCTTAATCTATTAATATACACTAATGCTTTCAAATACATGTGAGTAAGAATCATCACAGTAAACTGTATTTCTTGGATCTGCCCTCTAGAGATTCAGGTTTAGTAGGTGGAGCACAAGAATCTGCATTTTAAACAAACAAGTCAGGTGACTAGGATGCAAGTGTCCTTGAACTACACTTTGAGAAGGAAACACTGTTCTACAGTGAACTATTTTCTTTGAAGTAACCAATGTAATACAATTATTTAAGGGAAAGTTTAGAAATCAACGTTTTTCTTTTGAATCCTATAGCTTTTTGAGTTAGGGAGTTAGGAGCTCCTGATAATAAAATGATGACTGTAATGGTGGTATTCTCATCTCACAGATCAGAGCTAAGAGAACAGAACCACTTTTGTGTTTACATTTCTTTTTACCCTAAGGAATCTAAGAGAAACATAGATTTGTTCTTGTTCCTTAGAGTTTTCACTTTGTGAATGGAGCAGTGAGTTTCTGTAATTTCCAGTTATGTGCTTGAGTCAGTTCTTCTACTTGTCAGAAAATACTTGTCAATAAAAGTGGAAGAAGAATAATTTTATGAAGAATCAAGTTTATAGTAATATATTCTCAGTAAATAACTATACACAGTTCATGTTGAATGTGAAGGGAAACGATTTGAAATTTTTGTAGATTTATTCAAAAGATCAGAAAAGAGGTACAAATTAGTTTTTCCATCTTAAAATTAATGATATATGTTTATAATACATTTTTCTAATTATTGCTTTAATTGTATAAAGGCATTTCTTTTGAAGAAGCTCCTGTTTTCTTCTGAGAAGTCTTCTTGGCGGGATTGTCCAGGTATGACAGTTGCCTTTTAAAACTTTTAC